GTCAATATATATTTAAAACCAAATAACTTTTAAAAAGTAAAGAAGGTTTATCTCATTGATAACTCTGATTTCCATTGGTTTGAGTGTGGGATAAAATAATACATTTGATTATATTAAGACTAATATGGATGTAACGAATATTGTTCAACATTTGTTATTATTATTCGAAATCAACGAATAGTCAAGATCTCTTCATCTTTCATCTTGTATATTTTTCAATCGTAAATAATCATCTCAAAATTTTCGAACATTATTTTTAATCAACAAAAGTCTCTATATAGGGATAGTCAAACACACTTTTTTCAGTATAAATGAATAAAATCATTCAAATATAGGAAGCTCAATTGTTTGAGTGTTCATTTTGAAATTGATTGGTAGAATCATTAATACAGATATATATCACCTCGTATTTTTGCTTCATTCGAAAATTATTCATGTGAAGTAGAGAATTGTTTGTCAATATGTCATGACTGAAAACAACGAGAGGTTCAATTGTTGAATCGTTCGAATGAACACTTCTGGTTCGATTAATAATTGAAAAATATCTTCTAAATTTTCATCAGTCATCCATGACTTCATTTTAAACTAATCAACTTTATATACTTATGTGTTTTTTTTTCAAGTTTTTCGATTACATAAATAGATATTGCTGCTCTATGACTGTCGTTTTCATTTCAACGACGAATCTAAAGATAAATAATTCTTAAATCATTGCAAGGTAATTATGCTTTGCGGTGTGTTTCAATCTGTTTAAGATATTTTTCTGCGTTTCGAGAGAAAACGACCTTGCTTTTTTTCTCGCATTTGCTTGTTTAGCATCAACTTATTCAAAAAGCCCATTTCTTGCTTCGAAATAATCCAATCGAATATTTATTCAAGTATAACTATGCTTCTTCAATTTCATTTTCGTCTGCTATGAAATTCATGCTTTCAAAACGAATGGCTTGAATTTATAGAAATAAATTATTTACGAAGCTTTTTTAGAGCTAGTAGCACTTTCAGAGATTCTGTTGATTATAAGTTGCTTTGATCATTCTTCTTGTTTTTTTTTAGACGAATATGACACACCAAGTATTTTTAAATTAAAAAACAAATCAACATCGGAGATCATCAAATATGAATTTACAAAATCATGCACTCTTGAATTTTCTCCATTTCTTAAATCAACAGAACTTTGACCTAAAACGAAATGATTCTTTCTCCAGTAAACAAATTGTTAAATAAACATTACTCGATGGATTTAATAGCGATGCACATTTAAGTTTCAATTTTCAATAATCATCGGTGGTGAAAGAAGCAAAACAATATGTTTTTGCTGATTATCGCAGTATTACTCGGCTCCGCTTCCGTTATTCATGGTGAGCATTGAATTCATAGTTTTTCTTTTCCATTGAATAAAGACTATTTCTATTCCATAGGTCAAACATTAAAATACTCATCGAGTTGTACAGTTGACGTATGCTCGAATAATTCTACATCAAATATTGGTTGTTCATCATCACCAATCTGCTATCAATTCAAAACATCGAACAGTACAATCCTATGTGCACCTCAAGTCGTTTGTTCTCTTCTTGATGCATGTATAAGTGGTACAAGATGTGCAAATAATAACAGTGTTTGTGTTATCAATAGTTGCTGTTCAACACCGATATGTATGCCGGTAGCACTGTCCAGTCAATGCAATGCACAGAACAGCTCCAGTTCCAGCTCATGTAAGAATATATTATGAGAATTTTAATTGATACTGAGATTTGAGAAAAATGAGTTTCATGAATATAATAGTATTCTTTGATTATCTGGTTTCTATTTGAAGCAGCATCTACAACTGAAATTTGTTCAAATGCAACATGGAATCAGAATACAACACGTATTGTATCATCGTTTTGGAATAGTAGCTATCAGTTTAGGGTTAACGACTTTGATATTGATTCTGCTGATAACATCTACGTTATGGAAGCCTACACCAAGCAAATTTATAAATATGCTCCCAATAGCACTGTTGGAATATATGTGGCAGGATCTGGTGCATCATCAAATTATATTTTGCAGCGCCTATTCGTAGATTCTAATGGAATAATTTATACATATGAATATCGTGTATGTAAATTATCTGATGTATTATGTTTGATATGAATGTATATCTAAATATTTTTATTTAGTATTCATATCCAATTTATAACTATCGAATACAACGATATGATTCTAATAATTGGATTAACGGTACAATTATGTTTGGCGAAACTCAATGTGGTTCAGATTTGAATAGTTTTTGTGGATGCGTAGATATAGTAGCTGACCGTCAAGGTTCAGTATACTGTTCTGATTCGAATAATTATCGTATCATCAAAATAACACCAAATAATTCTAATGCGATTGTTGTTGCTGGTGTAACAAATACAACTGGATCACAATTGAACCTTCTAAGTTATCCACAAGGATTATTTGTCGATGCTAATTATACTCTATATGTTTTAGATGCTGGCAATAAGTAAGTTATTACAGATGATGTTGTTTTAAAAGAGTCATTTTGTAGATACTCATATTAATAAGGAGTCGAGTTTATTATTAAAATATTAAGACTTTAAAGAGTCTTATCGATTCGATATTTTTTTTTACAAATCATGAACAACCGTTTTGACTTCTTAGAAGACAATATCTTACAAATACGAAACATTTTCTTTTTGACAATCAATTCTATTTATTTGAAATCTTTCAAATGTTTGTATTTTAGTCGTGTAGTGGCTTTTTCACCAGGAAATCAATATGCTAGATTGTTATTCTCCTCTTCGATCAGTACATCCTATTCTTCGATATATTATAATTATATCAGGGGTGGTTTAACTCTTGACAATTCAGGCAATGTTTATGTAGCTGGTGTTAATAATATTACACGTTGGGCACCTAGTACATCAACTGTAACAACTATTTTGTCCGTATTTTATTGGTCTGCTCCTAGAATACGTTTAGATAGCAAAGGTAATTTATATGTTGGATCATACTGGGATGGTAGCATTGATAGACGGAGCATTTTCACGAATACATGCTAAATTAGAAGTAACATTTCATTACTTATTAAACTTTCTTTTGACTTTTTCTCTTTCACTTTTATTTATTCATTTCAAATATAACTTATCTTCAAGCGGATAATATTACATAATAAAACTACAAATATTTTTTCTTGATATTAGCGAACGTCTACGTATGGTTTACAGAGATCTTTTAAATTTTTTTGATAAATTTCCACAATACTAGGGTGTGGGTGTGGGTGTCTCTGTGACATCATCACACCCCCATCCCCACCCCCACCCATACCCACACATACACCCACACCGGCACCCACATCTACATCCACACCCCACACCCAAATGAATTGTTAACATTCCAATGTTATTGATCATCTTCTCATGTATTAATGAAAAAAATCTTAAATGAATTAAATTTGAATTGTTCAGATTTCTCTCAGTAAGTTTATTAAATAAAATGTTTTGAATGCTGAGAAAATTAATCACTTGCAAGTTGTAAGTGATTAATTTATTCAAAATTTTGTTGAATTTAAACCGAACAGTTAAAAACGACAGTTGAGTTTTCTTATAAAATTCTATCAAACTGATTTTCGAAACAAATTGCACAATGAACTAATATTTCGTATTTCAGTAATTATGTTTTATCAATGCAATAATTTTTTTAAGATCAACAACAATTAGAAAACATATGGTTGAGTGATGCAAAAGAAAATATAACTTCATAGTTTTATAGGTTCACGTAAAATTTTCATGTCACTTTCCGACATAAAAAGAAGCGACGTTATTTTGTCAAGGGGGAACAAGCGGACTTCTATACTTCTTCGTACTTTTGCGTACTTTTGCGTACTTTTGCGTACTTTTTCCTACTTTTTCGTACTTTTTTGTACTTCTTCGTACTTCCCTGTACTTTTCCGTACTTTTGTACTTCGGAAGTATAGAAGTCCGCTTGTTCCCCCTTGTATTTTGTACATATTTGGAGACGTTCGAAAGAATTTTTTTTTTTTTTTTTTTTTCACTGAATTTATTGTTCCCAAATAGCAGGGTTAACATAATAATAGGGTATACATAAAAGGTTGACCGACAAAAGGGTGGGTGCGGGTGTGGATGTCGGTGGGTGTGGGTGCGGGTGTGGGTGTCGGTGGGTGTGGGTGCGGGTGTGAATGTCGGTGGGTGTGGGTGCGGGTGTGAATGTCGGTGGGTGTGGGTGTGGGCAAGGGGGAAATAGCGGACTCCAATCCAATGGAGTCTAGTGAAGTCCAGTGAAGTCCAGTGGAGTCCAATGGAGTCCAGTGGAGTCCAGTGGAGTCCAGTGGAGTCGTTTGAAATTCTGGAGAGCACTTCACAAGTATATTATAGACATGTAATACTGCTGTATATTGATTTTACTTTTCATCACCTGTTACATAGAATTAAACTGATACTGGCTCCACTTTTGAGATGTTCGCACAGTATCTGTGCACCACCCATATACAACACATTCAATGAATAAAAAAATTTTAAATTCAACAAAATATACCCTTTATTGAAAAAAATCAAACAAAAACTATAAAAAAAAAAGAAAAAACCATTTATATTATCATTTATTGACCTGTTGCACGCGAAGTAATCGGTCATTTGAAAGTTTACTTTTCTCTTCTGTTAACAACCAACANCCCGGCCCTAGACGCCAATTTTATTCAGAACTATTTTGTGCCATCGCCTTCCGTGGGTGTGGATGTCGATATAGTGTAAGTCAATAGTAACACCCTCACCCACACATCCACAACCACACCCACACTCACACCCCACCCCCACCCACACCCACACACCCACACCCACACCCACACCCCACCACACCCACACCCACACCGCACACCCATACCAACGCCCACTACCACATCCACCCTCACACCAACACGCCAACGCCCACACCTACCCACATTTACACTCGCTTGATTTACAAAGAGTTCATTTTATGGTATTAAAAGTAGCTTGTGTTCACAAGGATTGTAACCAATGGTGAACAATTGCCAGTGCATTTTTGATAGAGCTTGATTCGCTAGCTATTTGTGCTTCTATTACTGCCAACACAGTTGGAATGCATTGAGGCTGAGCTTTCAGTGCCTGAATGAAAATATCTCGATTTAAAACATCTTTTCCAACAATTGTTACAATCCACATCCAATCCGTTGCAGGCAAATTGCAAATACCATTATCAATATAGCATTGTGGATGTGAATCAAATGCGATCTGTTGTAGAGCACAACAGCTATCGCAATTTATCAATGGCAAACCTAAAGCTTGTTGCAAACAAGCCATGGCATTCGTGATCCACGTTTGTCCGCTAGAACTAAATTGATTCGATAAAGTTAAGAATTTCGAACAATATTGCAAGCCATATGCAATGGGATATCCAGTTAAGCCACATTTTGCTTTTGTCTCCATACACTCGCGATAAAACAAGCAACTATTTATTGGTGGATTCGAGCATGTTTCACGACACATGGGTTCTGAAGTACAGTTGAAACAGTTTTTCTCACAAAGGCTACATTCTTCAGGTCCAATAAGACGAGCATTTACTAGCGAGTCAACAGCACTGTCGCCAACATTAGCAACATTGACGTCTAATCGTATCACCTCCGACACAGGACCCACTGGTAAACTAAGTCTGTACCATTGCGTAGCACCTGTACTATAGTTAAACGCTCCGAGACCAAGACCATTCATACTATCAGTTTTCATAACATATTGTCCCATTTTTGAGCGCAAAACTACACTGAAATAGTCGTTATATCGTGAACCAAAATAATTTCCAGGGATCTCTAAGGTAATGAATTGATATTCTACATGAACTTCAGTAGCTGATGGTGGACTAGAAAATATTCTTGAAATTGTTTGCACTTCCGCCACCCTGCTTGTATTTACGGTAATAATTTCCTCGGTCCCAATCAAAGCAATATTTTGGGTATCGAATGGCACCAAAACTAGGAAGACAACTGAAGACGATGGTACTAAACCTATTCTGGCCACCTGATTATCTGGACTGTGAGCAAAAATGGATACAGTCAAGCTTGGTAGATTTTTGAAAGTGATCGTACCATTTGCATCGGTTAGACCACTTTGACTTACAAGCAGATTACTTGTCAAATTAACATAAATCGTGACTCCTTCAGCAGAAGTACCATTTGCATATGAAACACGAATAAGGGTTGAAATAGATCCAAAATACAGTTGGAATGAATAAAAAATCGGCAGCCTGTTTGCATCCAAGGCGAGAAGATTGAAGATAACACTTGCATTGGTAAAACCATTTACTGTAATAGTGTTCACAACATTATCAGTATCAACTAATGGTACTTCATTGGCGAAAACAGTGTAATTGTCTATGTTGCCTGTTAGATTTTCAAATTGGAAAACTACTGGCATACCAGCTGCATTGAATGAAAATTGATCAGTATTTAGCAATTTTACAATAGTCGGAGAGAATTTTTGAACGTCACCTATGAGTCCGCAGTTACTATCTACAATTATTGAAACAACCGTTATAGTAAAGAATTAGAATGTAATGTCAAACTATGCATTCCAACACTCAATCCGCATTACTGAATATAATGGAAGGAAAGTTCTGTATTTTCTCTATTTGCAATGTAAAAGTATCCGTAATGACAAAAGGAAAGCAAGGAGCACGATAAAAATTAATTTGTCATACGTACTATAAATAAAATGGAGTGATCACTAACACTGTACTATTTTTTAATATCAATTTTTGTTAAAACTGACAATCATCATTTTTGGAATAACTTTTGACTATTTCAGACTATCGTGCTGCATTCTTCGTCACACAAAAGAGCAATACATATGACATATAGTTGGATAAGATTCATTAGGATCGAAATTTTTCTCAAGGTTCTTTCCTGCTTGATATCTATTGCAATTTTGTGTTCCCTGAACCCTCATAGTAGCTTTAATTCAAATGATGTAAATTTGTACCATATAGATTGTTCTATCTAGAGTCAAATTTTCAAAAGATTCTATCTCATTTTGAAGGAATGGTATATTGTACACCGTCCGACTCAGAAATACTTCAACACATCGAATATGCGTACATAACTCTTAAAGTGGTCACAAAAAATTAAACAACAAGATTCTTCTCTCTCTTTATGTTTCAACACGGATGTGGAAACGGGTGGAATAGATGAGTGAAGATGTGCATGTGAGTGTGGATCCCTGTTCATCGATATTTTCTTGTTAGAATTCTGTGAAAAGTATACTATGGATCAATCAATAAAAAAAAATATCAAAATGACTATTTAAACTCGCTTGAACAGAACTTTCGGCTCAGTCAGACATGGTCAAGCACAAAAATCATCGATTCTTGGTGACAAAACTCATCGATTTTATTACAAGTTGAAAGAAAAAATTTCGGTTCTCTCTCATCTGGCATGGTTTTATCAATGATGTAACACTTTTTTCGGCTAGTTATTGAACAGAACGAAGGATAATATCATCATGCATACGCACGCACACTTTCATATACTACTCTGTGTACATCTCAAGAGAAAACTTTTGCAGTTTCTTACCGCTTTGGAGCTCATATTTTATGAACTTTATAAGGTAGCAAGAGGACAATTCAACTCTGGAAGTATTCATCCACATGCGCTGTCTAGACAGAGTTACACCACATTACTACGGTTTTAGTCTAGGCACACGGTTTTTCGAGAACTGGAATGAGCGAGTCTTCGGCTGATTTGCTTGCAAGTAGCTCTTGTAGCTATGAGAATATCCTGGAAGTGCCAGCTTAAGAGAATAGCTTTTATAAGATATCTATCAAAAGGCCAAGTTCAGTTGAAAATGGAAATCCATAAGAAGATCAAAAAGGTTTCAAACGAAATTTTATCTGATGTTTTTAGGGATGCTTTCAAAAAGAATACGTTTATGTATTCCACTTATAAGTGATCATTTAGTAAACCTATCAGAGACGAACTTATGTGAAATAAAACTCGAATGAATATAAAATGGCACTATAAAACTCTCACATAAACCGCTTGAATGATTAAAGAGACACTTATGTTTCTTTTTCAGCTGGGGTGTGTGAGTATCGGATGGGTTTACATTTCTGGGTGTGGGTGCGGGGTGTGGAGTGTGAGTGTTATTTGAATGAAGACCCACACATACGCCCACATCCATATTCACACTCCACATACGCCATTTACCAGTTCTGAATGTGGTTATGAGAGAGCCCAATATCTACATCTACACCCATACTCACACAATTTGATCTGGTGTTATCAACACAGATCATAACAACCATTTAGAAAAAATTCATGGGAGATAGTCAACAGAAATTCCTTTGGATAGATTTTGTAGAACTATCCGTGGCGCATCTTTCAAACATGAATCAAGATTTTATCATTTATCCATGCTGAGATATATGGAAAATAAAAAGTGCACAAAGACTTTGGGACACCCGATATTTTAATGCTATTAATCTCGCAAGGGATTCTTTTCAAACTCATATAGGCTATCCTAATTAAGAAAAAAATACATCGAAAGTCAAATTCTACTTCGTTTGCAATTTTTTTTACGAACATCATAATAGTAGCTTCGCTCCCCTATTACGGGGGGGGGGGAAGTGAAGAGGGAGTTAGTTTGGTCTTAAAATTTAGTTACCTGTCACAGTCGTTGTCGTTGTTGTCGTGGTCACTGTTGTCGTTGCGGTCGTTGTTGTCGTTGTTGTCGTTGTTGTCGTGGTCACTGTTGTCGTTGCGGTCGTTGTTGTCGTTGTTGTCGTTGTTGTCGTGGTCACTGTTGTCGTTGCGGTCGTTGTTGTCGTGGTCGCTGTTCTCGTTTCTGTAATCGTCGTTGCCCTTGTTGTTGCTGCGATTGTTGTTGTAGCGGTGTCTTCAAAAGTGAGATTGAATGCTTACCACATAATATTTTATCGACTTCAAATACGCTCAGCTACAATGACTCTAATAGAATAGCAAAGAGTCGTAGAATGACTCCACTTCACCGTTCTTCGATTTTTTTGTATTCCTAATACTTGGTTGAAACGTTTCTCTAATGTTCGATGGATTTCCTTCAAGACCTCAATAGTAACATCTTCCTAAGCCTGGTTTCTAAGAGCTACTCATGTTGCTGAGTGCAGATTCAGATAATTCGTATAGAAAGACACGAAAAAGTTAGTGATGGCGAAAGAAATTCACGTATCAAGTAAAACCTTTTTCTTAAAAAAATGGTTACAGATAATCAGTGCTCACAATTTCGACAAAATATTGGATGTCTTGCATTATAACTGAAGACAATGTTACGAGCTGATTTTCGATATCACTCTTAGATAAGTACAAATGCCAGACTTGACCCGAGAAAATTTTACTGAAGCTCATAAGAATTTGTTCTCACTGATAGCATCTATACAGTGAAAAAAAATGTAGCATATGGAACCATTTTTGCCATGAATTTAAAACCTTTTTTAAGTTGCGTACTATGTACGAAATTCTTTGTATGTTTTGTATAAAGTCCAGAACTCTTTAAGTTTCAAAGCGCGCATGATCATCTTCGGTTCCGTGTGTTACCTGTGTGTTGAAGCATATAGAGTAGAAATTTTCACCGACAACCTGGATCTTCTTCCCACCATTGACCATGGCAGACGAATCCCAGACCCGTCACAAACCGTGACAGATGTTTTTCATATAGGATTACCAATCATATATCACTAGCATCTCACAAGAATATCCAAAACTGCGTTCTTATTGCAGTTCTACAGTATCAAATAAAAATGACGCAAAAATAGGGCCAAAGATAGATCGAATAAAACAATATTTACGAGATTAGTAAAAAAACACCTACGTCATGTTTCACATTTTAATCTCACAGGGATTGGGTCAACAGCTTTTTTATTTTAACCCTTTACGAACTATGCTTTTATATATAGAGGATTGAAACGGGACCAAGGGGAAAAGCTTTTAGGCGGAATAAAATTCGGTTTTTTCCCTACGGGTTTTTGTTGGTAATAAACGTATTTAGGGTATGGTATGGGTGTGAGTGTGAATGGGCTCAGAGAAGATCCACACTCACACTCTTCTTCTGTTCCTGTATCATGTATGAAAAGCACACATGTTATCTCTGTCTCTGTTCTTCCTGTATAGGTTATCCGGGGGCCATATTCTTCTTTTTCTGTTCTACTCACTCTCTTTCTCTTTCCTGATTTTACTCATGAAATGTTGTCTCTCTTTCTTTGACTCCTGTTTTTTCTAGAATGTTCTGTCGTGTCCGAACCCATGTATATACACTCTTCGTTTCCCCAAAAACAGGAGTCACTGATTCGGTGAGTCTAGTCTTTCATTCATTCGATGATTATTCTCTTTCAGTTCAGTTATTAGTAATTTGTTTTCAGGAATTTGTGGATAAACTGTGATCATACACATCCGGGATTTGGGACCTAACAGTTGTCTTATAATCATATAAATGCATTATAAATACTGGATATTCTTATAATAAATAACAAAGTGTTTAGTAAAATCAAATTCTAAATATTACCATAACTGCTCAAGTTATTCTAACTAATGTTGCACACTATATTAAGCTTTTTCTTTACGTATCAAAACATTTTCTACGTTATTATGGCGTCCACTAGTGAATATGATTCGGACACGACTAAAACATTCGCAAATGATGCATCCGATGTTGATGCAATTTCTGACTTTGATGATGGATCGAGTAGTGAACAGGAAGAAAACCAGGGCAATCAATCAGATTGTGATGAAGAAGAAGACGAAACTGACGGGTCCTTTAGAGAGAGAGAGAGTATGAAGAACTGATCCGTTCAAACAAAAACAATTTACATATGACCCAAGTAATTTTAGTATCATTTCCAATTTACCAAAAAGTGATGAAAACAGTTCACTGGATTATTTTCGCTTACTATTTCACAATACTTTGATGAAATAAATTGTTGAAGAGACGAATAAGTATGATTTGTACCGAATGCAACAGGGAAGTTTATCGAAATATGCTCAAAAGTAATTGATACTACTCTATCTGAAATGTTTACTTTTTTAGCGCTTTATATATTAATGTCTCATACAAAGAAAGGTCGAATAAAAGATTATTGGTCTACTGAACTATTGATTTCAACACCTATATTTGGAAATATAAAGAATAGAAACAATTTTTTTTTACTTTTACAATTTCTTCACTTTATTGACAATGAACATCAATCAACTAATGATAAACTATACAAAATGAAACCAATTTATGCATTGATAAAGGTTTAATATTATGGAAGGGTCGTCTTAGTTTCAAGCAATATATTTCATCAAAAAGAAGTAGATTTGGAATCAAACTATATCTATTGTGAAATGTTTATACTGGATTTATATTGGACTCCATTTTTTATACAGAAGCTACCACTGATATTAGGAAAT